ACTGTTTAACGCAAGGTGGAATAAGAAACGTTTTCATATTTGCTTTTTTTTTTCCTTTATAAAGTATCAGAGTGTGACCACAAACAAGGTTAGGTCAGAATAGACCTGTCATCTTATGGGACTTCGTGTCCCATCTACTGAAATACCGACCTAGAAAAACATCACTGATTTTCTTATACCCTCCACAATTTAACGTGGTGGTTTTAAGAATTATATTCAGCCTACCTACTAAAGTCGATAAAGTTAGCAATTCCAAAAAAGGACTCCTAATAGAAAATCTCTTGCATCGTACGACTGGTTGTTGGTGGCTGCATGCCTCTAGCAATATAATATGTACAGCGGCAAATTATTTACGAACTAAAATTTGCGTTCTTAAGTGCTTGAGTTCATCTTAATAAAAATGATATCGATAGATTGGTAAAAATTCCTTGATGAAAATAAGTACAAACACGATATTATTCAAACTATTTCCAATTATGCATACTATGTTGTTATAATATCATTACCATATAGTTTATAAATTTGATTGTATTTAAATGATATACTCAAAGGAACAGTATGCCTAGATTTAATTTCACGTAGGAAATCTCAATCATCCATTACTAATATTGTTACACACATCTAACGAAAACTAAGGGCCCGAAATTATAATTAAAAGAAATAGATTTGACGCGTGTGATGAGTATCCCGTTATCTAACGCTAGAAGAGAAACAGGAGAACTTCACTTTAAGAGTGGTTTCACAGCAGTGATTTTTGGACAGTTGTCCTGTTGTACGGTTGCCGCTTTTCTTTTACTACCACGACTTCTAATATGAATGTAGTATTCTGTAACGGTTTTCTTTTTCCTAGCCCGTATTTTTCAAGCATTAGACAACCTTTCTCAAATTACTGCCGTAAAAGCGCTCACAAATTCGAACAACGATGCTCTACAGAATTTGGTGCGGCAGCCAAAGTACAAAAGCTCGTAAAAGGACAAATATAAAAAATAAAATTTGTATAACTCTAAATTTATAATAATTATTAGCTTTTTTTAAATTAAACAAATTTTTAACATGGCTATTTTTAACTATAAATATATTTATTCTTTTAACTTAGTTACACTAATACTTCAAAATAGTTATTTATTGTTCAATTAACTAAGTAATGAAGGAATAGTGTTTAACAGGATGGGCCACATTTAGATTCGCGCGAGCCTGAACGCCACATGTCTTTCCAAAGGCTCTGGCTCCGTGAGTTTGAATGAAAGGTTCAAACATTACAAGAAAAACGAAAAAAAAAAACTTTATAACTTATACATATCGAGGAATAAAAATTTCTTATGGCATTTTACTCTTAGTTTAGTAATTAAAAAGATACTGTTAATGAAAGTTGCTACTTTTCGTCGACTTTTTACGCATCTTCTTCACATAAATGAATTTTTATCTTCAGAACTATTAATTGTATGAGCATGACTCCTTTTTTAATTTTACTGTAGAGAGTTTGAAGTTCTAAAATAATTTATTACTGACATGAAAAGCTACGTCTACTTTGCAAAAATTAAAAATAAATTTTTATTTAGCAGTTTTTGGATATTATTTTTAAAAATATGAGAAAAATATTACATTCCTTGAAGCTTCTTCTACCACATGTTTGTATTTTGCATACAGTTTATACGAAATTTTCGACGTCTATCATAAACCCCGAAGAAACCGTTAGAGAAAGTTGTCGCCTTCAGTTTTTCTCATTTCTTAACTTACCCCATCTGGTGCGCAGTGTACTCTGCCACCTATCTTCAAATACTGACCAATAGGAGTAATTTCAGAATTTTTCATGAAATGTTTTCCTAAACAAAGTAGACAAAGAAAAAAAAACACTTCTCTCACAACAGTTTTACTCAATCTCCTCGTACAAAATCAAATACTACAAGTAGTACGCGTCAAGAAACAATATCTTCTTAACTACTAAACTGTAAGATATTTGTTTTGAAATCACCCGCCAAATATAACTATAGTTTTGTTCATCTGTCAAACATCGCCCTGTATATGCGAACATATAAAATTATATGTATAAATGAGGTATAGGGTACCTTGTACTGCATTTATTTTATCGTCACATTTATTGTTAGTTTCAATTCCCATAGCCACTAAATAGTAATCTCATTCTGTGCTAATCGATAACGTTGGAAATGACACGAAAATGGTAAGGGGGTTCGCAAGCCCGCCAAACTATGTGACACAAAAAAGTATTATGTGTTAGGTCTATTCTGTACCTCATCTTTCCTTTTATACAGTCTCATCATGATTTAACATTTTCATATATCATGTATGTTTTCGTATTTAATATATTTCAATTTCGTATTCTACAAAAACGTTTATATACAAAAAAGAGAATGATTAGAATATCATTCGATCTTCCATGAAATACCTGTTGCAATATTTGGATACTTTTTTGAGGCAATAATATTTCTACAGTGTAATGGATAATTTCGGCAAGATATACGTTCAAAATGGTAACAAATTTCTTAATAAAATATGTTACGTCTATAACGATAAGTAGTATAAATTAAACAATTTTATGTTAAATAATTTTTGACAAATGATCTGTGAAATAAGATAAATTTCGTTTTTACCAACAAAAAGTCATTATTCGTTTTTTTATGACTTCTCTTGTTAATAATCCCTTTAATTTTATGAACAATAAGTTTGATTTTTAATCGTGGCTTTTATTACACTCTTACAAATTTCTGAAATGCTCATTATAGGCGAACATTTAAAATTAACGAATTTAATTCGTTTTGAATAAAAATAATCCAATAAAATTAAACATAAATTAAAATGAAATTAATTTTGTTCCTTTATAATAAAAAAATTTTAAAAAAAGGCAAAACAATTATTGAAATAACGATAAAATGTTATTTTTATATGTTATGAATTTATTACAATCTTTATCTGAATTTTTGTATAAGCATCAAACTTCTATTATATTTTTATATTTACAAATAAATTATCATTGATTAACTTAATGTTATAACAAGCAGATTGACATAGAGTCATCAGAAATTGTTCGTTTTATTTCAAAATGAAATTGTTTTTCATTTTATTCTTTCACTTAATTGTTAATACGATGATATTTTCTTTCTATGTAAAATATTACCAACGACTTATACGTACTTACACAGTATATCATTATTTTATTGCATATTAAAAATATTTTAGTCATATGAATTATACAATTAAGAATTAATATCGCTAAATAATTGGGTTTCTAATATTCATAAATTAATATTTGTTTGTTTTTATATTTTACTTTCATATATAC